CAAGTATACATATAAACTATAATGTCGTAAATTATGCTTATGTAATTTTTCGTTAGCACTCGTATTAAAGCCGCATCTGCCGTGGTAGAAGAAAGGAGCAAAAATTAATTGTGCTCCTCAAAATGGATTTAATAGCTTCATAACTTATGAGAAGGGAAATTTTGTTTTGTCCACCCTCCCCCCAATGCTGATCAGTTCTTCCTACTGTGAGTTTACATTAAGACTCACCAAGCTGACATATCAAAAGATTTAACGTCTTGCTAAGAAGTATTTGTAGATAATTTTTACAAAGAAAAGTCTGAAAATGAAACATTCATTTTAATAGTTATGTAATCGACTTAAATGTTTATGATAATTATGTATGATGTATTTCTTTCAGAAAATAGAGGAATTTATTCTAAATTTATTGTTTTGTTTCACAGAGCCAAACAAACGCTATTAACTCCATTAATTAGATTTTAAAACTTTACTAGAAAAACATTTATTACAATAATAAAACAGTATTTGTGTTGTGCACTTTTTAATATTCCACGCATCCTCATTATCATTATCATCTTTGCAAGAACTTATTTAATAAGAGAAAAGCATAAACATTTAAAAGACATTGTAGGTACTGAAAGTTACAACTCAAACAAATGTATAATTCTATTTCTTAAATTTGGTGTAGTGAATACGACATGGAAAACAATACATTGGATTTTCTGGAAAGTAATTCAACATCTAATGCTACATCCATTTATTATATCAATAAAGATCTTAAAATGACTCAGAATATAATTGCGATAGTTTCCCTAATAATTATAATGATTGCCATGGGTGCAGACATCTCTCGGAATCAGGTACTAGCATTTATTTATCTTTATTTCTTGATTAATTAGCAGTAACTATTACATTTTTACGTTAATAGATTTATAAAGGAATCCGAAAACCCGTTGGTCCAGCTATTGGTCTCTTTTGCCAATTTGTTATAATGCCATTGATTGGATTTATTTATAATGTTATATTTCAATTCGAATCGAGTCTAGCGGCTGGTTTGCTTATTATATCGTGTTGCCCCGGAGGTGCTGTTTCTAACGTCTTTACATATTATTTGGATGGCGATGTTTCGCTGAGGTATGTAAGAATTTTTTACTATATTTAGCTACAGAGAATATTATTCATAAAATTAATATTTGCCATGTCATAGTGTGACTATGACTACAATATCTATTGTAGCATCCCTAGGCTTGATGCCTTTGAACCTTTGGATATATGCAAGTAATACAGAAGCTAAGAACTTAAAAATACCTTATGAAAATATTGCATTATCACTATTAATGATTGTTCCTCCCTTATTTCTGGGTATGATAATAAAATGGAAAGCTCCTAAAGTATCTTCTTATATAACTAAGGTATAAAACATGATTTCCTAAATAGTTAAGGTGTTAAGTTTAATCATTTATATTATATTATGAAACTATTTCTGTTTTTATTAATAGTGGGAAAGTGCAACAAGTATGATAACGATTATAATTTTCGTGATAATGGAGATTATTTCCTCTCAACACATGTTTAGTATAGTATCGTGGAAAGTTATTATAACCTCTTTATTATCTCCCATAACTGGAATTATAACTGGATATGTCATAGCTTTCGTCAGTAGAAACTCCAAAGCAGCCTGCACTGCAATAGCTATTGAGAGCGGGATTCAGAATTTTTCTGTTGCATTCGGCATTATAGTTTTATCCTTTGATACCTCGGTATGTATGATTTATATTGTAGATTGTAAGATTCTGAATTTTTGTTATTAAAAGAGACTTTACACTTAGAAACAAACATCAATTATGCTGTTTCCATTTTTTTATGGGCTATTTCAAGGTGTATTCTGTTGCTTTCTCTCCCTAATTTTCTGTTTTATAAAGAGTAATTTGAACAAAATTCGAATGCAAGACAATGACGTCGACGATTCACAAAATACAGGTGATCATTATATAAATTATTTTTTTATTTTCGTATATCTTAAACTATTGTTTTTTTTTTTTTTGGTGTTGATTGTAAGTATTTTTTGTGATCTTGGATATCATTACTAACTGACATTCAAATTATCTCTACACGTCACATAATCGGAGTAAAATTGGAAGCTATTATATTATTCAATGTTATTCTTAATCCTTGTATGTTGTATCAGTGTTGTTCAGAGATAGAGAGAGTAATGTATCATATCTCGAAAGAGGTTGAACTTATAAACATTATACTCATTATTAGCATTTATAATTTTTTAAAATTTATCTATATTTATCTCTATCTGTATTATCTGTATCCTAATTAAGCCTTTTGCNTTTTGCTTGTCACATTGCAGATAATCAGACTGTCGTTGTTCTATGGACTTTAATCTAATCGAAGTTGAACAACCAGTGCAGAAATGTCTGTCCGTCAATTCAAAGCAAAAAAACCAATCCGGGATGAAATGTCAAGTCCAGTAAATTAAGTCGTAGCCGGGTGGAACGTCATTTCCGGGTGACAAAGTCGTATTCGGGTGGCAGAGTCATATCCGGTGAAAAGTGACCTCGGAAGAGAAAATTTTCATTTTACGCAGCAGAAGAAGAGCCTTTTCCACCAAGGTTTCTTNTACAAACTTTTATTAATTAGCATTAACAATATAAAAGTTAGTTTTTAAATAAAATTTCATAACAGCCGAGGAAGTTACACAACTCGTTTCTGGATGTTTTAATTTCTATAACTGGCTGATTAATTACAATACATCGTAGCTTTGAATATGCATGATGCTTGTAGGTTGTCTACAGCTACACAGCATCACTACATCAAGTTTATACATCAATCTAAACTTGATTTAGTATTTATTATGTATTTTCTGAAGCAGAATATAATGAATCAATACCATAATAAGTGTGTTTTTGTATAGACAAGAAATAGATTAACTGCGATCTGTAGTGAATAAAATTGTTGTCAATTATATTTCTGACTATTATGCAATAAGCTTGAAATTATTCATTAACGATATGTTTTATAATGTAGTGAAGTCAATAGTCAGAAATGAACATTGAGTAATAAAGCTGAAATCATGAGTAACAATGCAAATTGCAGGTTTTCGTATGATTAACATTATATTGCTCAAGCTATCCACACATTTATTTAAATGTTTTCGTCTTTAGATCACCTCTTGAGCGTATATCGAAAGATTTCTTTAAGCCAGATGTCACAGGTGGTGTCAGTCCTGACTCGAGTGGGTGCTGTTTGACCTTTCACACTTTGAATTTATGCTGCTGTGGAATTTCTCAAAAACAGAAATTGGTTTACATGAAATTTCTTATATAAAATAAATGGTCGGAAATGAAGGAGTTAATTAATTAACTTCCACCGTTTACTTTTCACACAAGACTCGCCCAAAATCCTCCAAGTAATACCAAAATGAGTCTTTCACGGACATATCAGCCGCCCGCGGCGATCACATTTATAATTTTCAATAAAACTCTATCAATATAATATAAATTTATACTGAAAGAATTTTCGTGTGATCTGGAAAATTCCTGATTACAGAGAAATTATTTTAGATATCTTCTATAAACTTCGTTGCCTAATAAAAATTTCAAAATTAATATTCATAAAGTTGTTTTTCATTGAATCTTTAACAGCTGAAAGATCAGTTTTATTCTCGTCTGAAGATTCGACACAACCGAAAGTCGACATAAAATAAAAGAATCATTCTACGGTAAGTTTTCCAACATATTACTTTTAAAATAATTTATTTTATATGTAATCTGAGTGCTTTAATTACTCTATAGGAAGTTCCAGATTAAGAACACTACGAGTCCTAGACAAAGCTTGGAATGTGGACTTTTAAGAAATAATTAATAATTATATTTTTTACATTTATTATGAACAATAACAGTCTAATTTAATGTCACTATGTTAGATTAGTTCATTGTGCACTTTAAATTTGTATACTATTATTTACATGTGAATTTGCAAACGGATTTAAGGAATCCTGGCCTTGGAATGCGGACTTTTAAGAAATAATTAATAATTATATTTTTTACATTTATTATGAACAATAACAGTCTAATTTAATGTCAATAGGTTAGATTAGTTCACTGTACACTTTAAATTTGTATACTTTTATTTATATGTGAATTTGCAAACGGATTTAAGGAATCTCGGCCTTAGGCAATTGTCTTCTTTGCATAGATATACGTTTGGTCTGATAGAGATGGCCAGGCGTAAAATGTCAGCCTATCGCGCTGGGGAAGTCCAGATCGAATGCGAACACGTCGAAAAACGCTCTGAATTTGAATTTTTTGGGAGGTGGGCCGTTCACGTACATCGGGCTTCATTCCTCGCTAGTCGTGGATTAGATTCAACCGAACCCATAATGGGTTCATGAAAAGGTCCTTTAGGTGCTCATAGGGATGAAAAATTAGAATAACTTCCAAAAATGTTTTAGAATGAATAATAATTTAATTTTCTTTCTTGATAGTTCCTCTTCGGAATTCTGTATTCTCTCATAGAATATCAAATAATGTTTGTTTGAAGTAAATTACATTTAACGGGAAATAAAAAATGCACAGTATCTTAGTTGATTATGCACTTTTTCTCCATATATCCTTGTATAATTTCTTTTATACAATAAACATTTTGACTACTTTTTACTTTGCATTTTTATTTATATATATTTCCGTTATATTTTTATTACAGTTTGAAGTGAACGAACATAATATTTTCTTATGGCATTATAGATCTTTGAAATTTAAACTAAACGGAATAAAACATTGACATAATTTCATGCGAATTCGAAGAAACGAGTAAAGAATATCTTTCATTAAATTTGATTTTATTTGCACTTATTTCTGTTGTAAGCTGAAAGTCTTTTTCCACCTAAAATTAATATCGTGTTTTTGAAATAATATAATTTTAATTTGTTCGCTTAGACATTTCAGGAATATTGTGAGTTATTAAAGGTATTTGGATTTTAGATCCTACTTCGATTCCTTCTGAGACGGTGAACAGCCGAAGAGGTCAAGACGGGATCGAATCCTAGAAAAATTCTTATAGATTTCTTACAGATTATCTGACTGAAATGTGTTGTGCTCTATTTGTTTGTGGCAACGCAATACTTGGGCGATGCCTTCCGAGACGTCTTTTTAAGGAAAACTAGTCTTTATTTAGACGTTACAGACGTGGAGAAAATCCGGAAAACTTCACGTAGCCAGCCCGCCCTTGCGAGGCGCGAATCCACAAACCAAACTCACAGTGTTCAGCGGACGAAAACCGCTTGGGCACTGGTGGGCACGCGTTGTGTTCTGTCTGTCACCATTAGAACGTCTATTGTGAGCATGGACGAATGTATTGATATAATGAGGCTGAAAAGAAAAGGTTCTCTTAGTACCTACAGGATTAAGCGGAATTTTAACTATAAAAACTCTTACACATTGTATGTAAAGAATAGTGCTTAAAACTTTATATCATAAGAAAAGAAAATTCTGTAATTTTTTTCCAACAATTAATAAAAAGATGGAAGTAGGGTTTCTCATTTTCCGGTCTTTTGTTTGTCCCGGGATCCCGGGTTTTTAAGATAAACAAAATATCTTGAAATCAAATGATATAATTATTTTTCATTTTCTAAAGTAATTTATTACGTTCTGAACTTCCAAAATCATATTAATAACGCTGTGTAAAAATATGTTAAAAATTACCTTCGAATTACGTAGAAATTTTCACAAATAGAAAAAATCTATTAAAGTTTGCTGGAAACTGCATACAACAACAACAACAACAACAACAACAAGAAATGTTTTGAATTGAGTTGATAATTAAAAAAATGAACTTTGTTCAGACTTCTAACTTAAAGGGTAATTTTCGTTTTTTTCTAAATAAAACAATACAAAATACAGTGTTATTGTAAATTTTTATAATAGGATTTTAGAATTCAAAGATGATCAATACTCCAATCACTCGATCTGATTCTTATTTAACTAATGAAAAGTCCTGCTACCAAGAATTCCCTTTCCGATTCATGTGGGCGAAATCGTCTTTAATGCATTTAAGAGAAGACAGATGTTATGTATATTTTACCCATAGCCTGGAAGATTTCTAGTTCGTTTTCGAGATTGGAGTACTTCTTTTGCTCTCTAGTATTTTTTATTTGTCTACTGCGGCTGCTTTAATAGAAACATCTCGCTTAAAACCCGATAATTCGGTAGTCCGTTTGTCTTTAATATTTAATTTTATGAAGAAAAACTTCATACTTGCAGACTTCGTACTCGTTTGTATCCTGGCCCAATTTGCACTACCTGGCGTTACGCAGTTATCGAAGCTACCGGGCGTGGTTGAAAATTAAGACAGCGTAAGCGCAATTGTTCCAGATATTACGGGTTCCGACAAGTAAAGAATTTTCAGACTCCTGCCACAAATAAGCTACGTGTTGATTATTGACCATTTGTGACATGCCATAACGAGCAAAAATTAAAAAAAAACTAATAAGTANATTTCCATGCTGTCATTAAATTTTTTTTTATTTTGAGTTTAATCGAATTATAATTTCACTAAGGGACTTCTTTCACTTGTTGAAAATTTTCGTGAGAATTTTAAAGTACAGTAGAGCATCGATTATCCGACTCAATTGAGGACTGGGGTTGGTCGGATAATTGAAAAGTCGGATAACCGAAAAGTATAAAAAAATCCATTATTAGTGTAGTATATTTTTACATCCATGTAATTAGTATATTAGTATATCGCTATTAACCTACTTCGCGTTGAATTTTCCTCCATGTTAAGCCTATCAAATTTTTTTTTAAAAATAATAATCGTCGCTATTGTATCGTTAAAAATTAGAAAATTAAGCTTCGTTTAAATACTGGCTCTCTTTCATGGTCGATCCAGTATTGCCTTCTAAAACACGTAAAAATAATATTAAAGTAGCCAAGACATAGCCAAATATTGTAGCGCCACATCACTAGCGGACATTTGAAATTTGCCGACTAGGACGGTCGGTTAACCGAGG